TTTGAAATGATATATTTTGCAACATTCTGCAGGTTCAGTAAGATAATAGTAAACTGACAGTAAATTGGTTGATTTTATAGTACCCTCTAAAATCAAGAGCAGATTTTGCTGATTACAGTGCTGAAACTGGTCACAAAATTTAAAATGATGTGAAGAATAATAATCCTTGAATTTGATATATTGCCTTATATTTGTCAATGCCACAAAGTGCTTTATGGATTTACTGTAAAGTGTAGTGACTGTATTTATAGGTGAACGCAGAAGCCAATTTGAACACAGTAATGTCCCACAAACTGAAGTGAATTGTATCTGGAAGATTGCTGGCCAGGACATCAGCGGAAACTGAGTTCTCTTTTCAAATGGTGTCATGGGATCTTTAATGTCCGTCTCAACAAAAAAGGGGACATCAGCTTAACAGTTTAACATCTCACCTGAAGCAGGTGAACTGACAATGCAATGCTTCCCTCAGAGTCAAATTGGAGCAGAATCCAGCCGCACTTAATGGGTTCCTTGGGATTGAATCTTTCCCTAAAATAGGAAAGACAATCCTCAACAGCAATCATTGATAGTTAGCCACATCAACTAGCTACCCCCTGCTCCAACCTCAAGCCTTGTACTACTGAAGAAAAGAAAACATGTTTTATTCTTTCAATTTGAATTGTAACTTCCTTTTTCCCTCTTGCATTGTTTATTCATAACTTTCTGGGGGCTGTCTGCTGCACGAGACAGTGGTTGACAATTCATGTATAGTAGCACAGTCTAGAGAATACTTTAAACATCAGAAGGAAGTGGTAGCATGTTCTTATTCAATAAGTGTACAGAGGATAAGATTTTTGATGTGATAGTTAAATTAAGCATGATGTTTGTTAATAAAGAAAACTCATGAGACCTTGCCTATCCGTGTGCAAAAATCTATTTAAAAAAATTGTGAGCGGGCTGAGAGGACTGTACAAAAACTATTTAAATTATTCAATTAACTTAAGATATTAGTTGGAGACCTATCCAACTAAGCATTTTCCCAATCTTCCCGCTGTGTATTTGCGTTTGGTTTATAATAAACTACAAGTTTCCATTATCTGCATTTCACCCACAAAATAGCTAAAAACACTTTACAGTGACATTTTATGAAGCGCTTTGAAACATCTTGATAATGTAATAAGGCGCTATATCAAATGCAAGGATTATTATTATTTAGCAGTAATAAAACATTGATAAGAACAGTCGTCCCTCCACAAATTTATTTTTTTGCTGATGTATCTATCCAGTGCATTGAGCCCAGGTGACCTCTCACATTGGGTATTGCTGATGTGTTGTGTCCCTGACTGGTGGCTCAGATGTGGGGAGGTCTGATTCTAATGAGTTTCACTGGGAACGAGAACGATTTACTGCAGCTGAGCTCTGATTAGAATCCAGACCTGGATACCTAGAGAGATGTTTGCTGTTGTTCTCCATACCTTAAATATTCCAGTGTTCAAATCGTGCACAGGCTTGGTTTCGTTTCTTTTTAGATTTCAGCCAACAGTGTATTAAGCTGGGTCCATCCCTCGCTTTTATTAAAATTTGTGTGATAATGGTGCCTTAGGTGCAGGGCCTCCCGTGAGCTAAAGTACCTTTTAACTTCCCTCGTTAGACCTCAGTAATTGGATTTAATTCCAGAAGCCCTCTAGTGGGAGTTTATCACCAATCCACTGAACCAGGATCAGCAAGTAAACAATCACTGCAGTCAACACAGTCAAATGGGCGATAAACAACGGGAGAGCGAGAGGGAAGCGCTGTGAATTGATATTGCCTGATATATTGCGAAATGCCAGGGAACTTGGAGTTAAAATGCGCTTCGTATAAAGTGAACGCACTTGGTACAGAGCAGACTCTCGGGCAGGTGCAGCACAAAGCTGCATTCAGCAACTTGAAGCCGTTTTAAAAATAAGACATCGTTACGTGAATACGGTTCAAATAAATATACACCGGTCAGGAAGATGTCCTGCAAATGTGATACTACGGGAATGAATAACAAATGTATATTTTAAAAAAAGACTGAGCTGATCAGGCGCACAGCAATGCCGCGCATTCCTCGTCGATTGCGGTAAATAAAACGGGATTCGAAACTGCAAACGGAATAACGCAGAGAGAGAGAGAGGAGACGAGATGGTTTTTGCAAAGTTTTCTGATCTCCCCAGCACTAGGTTGGGTGGTGGGTTGGAGAGAGAGAGATGCAATGTCTGTTCAGAAAATAGACTCGAGTCTGACGGACCACAGTCTGCAGCACTAACAGAGGCCAATGAATCCGCAGACCATCGCTCTGTCAGACAGGGAGACGGCGTCCGCAAACATATCCCAAATGCACGTTGATTCACCGTCCTGTCTGTGACACTGTAACCCACAGCCCAGGGCCAGGCTCTTTCTGTCCGGGGATCGCTGATACCATTCTGGTTGTGTTTATAAAGGCGTGAACCGATGTTTAACATAACAGCGGCGCCTCCGCGCCACTTGTTCACGTCCCAAACGCGCCCCACACGTCCTGCGGGGAGGACCGGCTGTATGTGATTTGTTGTGCATCGATCTAATCAAATGCTACACTCTGCAACATCCCCCCCCCCCCTCCCTCCCGGGTTACTGCAGAATATTATCCCGGCTTTAAACCAATAACTTTCGCGGGGCCAGGACAGGGTCAGGGTATAAACCAGGGTCTCACAGGCTGGTCACGGAATCTGGGGTTTGAAAGCTGATTTGGGGGGAAAGGATTGGGTGGGTTTGATGTGTTACAGAGAGCCCGACACCTCGACTGTCTGGTTCCTGTGTGTGTGTCTGCACTTCGTCTTACTCTGGATGGTATGATCAGGTATCGGGCTGATGCCCTTGCCCTGCTGGTGTGATGAGGAACACGGATACGCGATATTGCCTTATATCCATTTCCAATTCACATCAAAATCACTAGTGGCGAAGTCCACAGAGTCCCGGGCAGATATCTTACTTCCCACAAGTTCTGACTCAACAGTAACCTTTCAGTAAAGCCAGGAAGGTACTCTGTTCAGGCTGTCTTACTCACATCTTGCACATGGGGAGTGCAGCAGCTCAAGTATTCGAGCGTACGTATTCAACTAACAAATTGGCGTGAAATTACTTCATTGTAAGCCATGCAAAAACATCCCGGTGTTGATTTGGACAAGTCCTGCTACTTTATAGGTAGGATTAAATGGGGTTAAAATAAAAAGACAAAGTCCAGTGGGAGAAATGACAATGCATTGACAGTTAGATTTAACATAAATTCATTTCAGATAAGTTCTATAAGTATAAAGCTATTAACTTTGTTTTAAAAATCAAGGAGGGACGAGGTGACTTGAATGGCTGAAAGAAAGAGAGAGAGAAAGAGAGACAAAGTAGATCTGGAGTTAGAGGAAAGTAGAAAAGATGTAGAATGTGAGACTGGAAAATACAGACCTCACTTTAGAATTGGCTCTTTCTGTTCACCTCGATGTGCTTTACCAGTTTGAGAGCTGATAACGAACCACCTTCGAGCCCAGGCAGCAGCTCAGACGATATCTTTCTTCTCTTTCTCTGTATTTTATTCACATTTCCCCTTTTGCATTCACTTGGGTCAGATAAACATTCACAGCATCTGCTGCATCAACTGGCACCGGCAACAGTTTCCCCATCACCACAAAATGTTTGTTCCCGGAAAAAAAAATCGGGAGTAAATATTGTAGTAAGACCAACTGCATAAGTAGCATTACTGTGCAGTAATTGTGTTGTTTAAGAGTGAGATTAGGATTAGTTATTGGTGTTTTGTGCGTGTTGTTTACACCCCCTAGTGCTCAGTGTCAGCTCTCTGATTTGATCTGACCTGGCTCTGTCTGGCTGTCTGTCTGTCTGTCTGTCTGGCTCCAGCCCGGGTCGCACCTCATATTCCCTCTCGTCCTGAAACAGACTACATTTCACTGGTTTCTCTGCCATTCTCAGTGTATGGTGGGGGGTGGGGGTGGGAGATAACCACCTCTCGCCTTCCATATGATAACGTGGCAGCAAGTTGCAAGCACTCAGTGGCTTTCCCACAGACTCCGCGAGCTTTTTCGTTTGCAAACCCTTCTCTCCCCTCCTCCCCCACCCACCCCCCAAAAAAAAACGCTTAAAGTTAACAATTTGTGGAGCTGGTGCCGTCTTTCTCTCTCTCTCTCTTTCTCTCGCACTAAATCGATGGGAAAGCAACCGATGGATCGCTGAAGGTGCCAGGAAAATTCCCAACGCTTCATCCCAACAAAATCGGGGACTCTTCCTGACATTGAGCTGCTGGAGGGGGTTGGGGGGAGGGTGGAGGGGGCGGGGGGTGGGGGGGGAATATGGCTGTTACTTTTCTGACAGACGCCAAACGCCTGAGAGGAAAAGGACAGTCACATTGAGTTGCTGTTTTTCTCTCTTTTTTTAAAAAAAAAATTGCTATAAAAAGTCCGTCTCTGCCACCCCACAACCCCCCTCCCCCCCCCCCCCCAAAAAAAAAAAAATAAACCCGTGGCGTGATGAATCTTTAATGCAAAAGCGGACATTTTCTTCGGAGGCGATTTGCGTGCGTTATTTCTGGCGTTTCTCCCTGAAAAAAAAAGGGGTCAGTTTAACCCCGACGTGTCTGCGTGTGTGTGTGTGTCTGTGTGTGTGTGTGTGTTGACTGGTGTACTGCGTGTGGAGCTGAGGCTGGTGTGAGCGAGGAGGAGGAAGAGGAGGAGGAGGAGGAGGAAGAGGAGGATGGTGCTGCTGTTGTTGCTGCTGCTGCTGCTGAGTTGAATCCCCATCGCTGTGGCGATGGCTCCAGCCTCAGTCTGTCAGCCCGGGAGCGCGGGGCAGCCGCACTGACTCCCTCCCTCTCAAAACATTTTATTTTATTTTTTTTACGTTAAATGTGTTTCTCGTGCCTTGTTTTTTTTCGAAACCCCCCCCCAAAAAAACAACAACAACAACCAGAAGAAGAAGAAGAAGAAGAAGAAAAGGACGAACGAGGAGTTCCTTTACCTGGTGCCTTGCGAGAGTTTTTATCGGGAGCAGCTTTCCTGGTCTCGGCGCCCCCGAGATGAACGCGAGAGTGAGACTGAGCCTCTCGAGCCTCCTGCTCTGTCAGCGCCTCCTCGCCGCCGCCACCGCCGCCGCTCACCTTTCCAACCAGGGTAAGCGCCCGCCCGCCCGCTGTCGCAACTTCGCCAGAGTCGTTTGCGGATAAGCCGGTGCATGCTGATGCACTGAAGCCCGATGGTTGGAAATGGCTTTTGACACCGCACACACACACACACCACGCTCACACACTCTCTCTCTCTCTCACACACACACACACACACACGCACACACGCTCCGGCTGAATCGGAGCGGCAGCAGGTGCACGAAACCGCGGCCAGGCGCCGCCCCGCTCCTCACGGGCGCTGCATTCACTCTGATCGCCGCTCTGCTCTACTCTACTCTGCCCGGCCCGGCCCGGCTTTGCCCGGCTCTGCTCTGCTCTGCCCGGCTCTGCTCTGCCCTGCCCTGCCCTGTCCTGCCCGGCTCTGCTCTACTCTGCCCTGCCCGGCTCTGCCCTGCCCGGCTCTGTCCTGCCCTGCCCGGCTCTGCCCTGCTCTGCCCTGCCCGGCTCTGCCCTGTCCTGCCCTGCTCTGCCCGGCTCTGCCCTGCCCGGCTCTGCCCTGCCCTGCCCTGCCCGGCCCTGCCCTGCCCGGCTCTCCGGTCCCGTGTTAACAGTCCGGCTGAAGTATTGCGCGGAATTCAGGATCGGGATCCCGAGACAGCGACGGGAACTAAACTACACGACTGTGGAACTACTGCTCCACTGAGACCCCCCAAAACCTCAGCCTCTCTCACTAACCGGAGCACAGGCGCTGCAGCACCGCCGGATAGCACTTCCAAACTAACACGGCGTTAAATGCGCGGATTGTGGATGCATCTCAGTGTCGGGCAACAAAAAAAAAGAGAAACTCCACCTGTTTTGCTGCAGCGGCACATTTGCTCCTCGTCCGTTTATTTCATTTTCAATTTTTTTTTTTAAAAAAAAGACGCTCACACCGAGTCAGGGTTTTTGTGGCGATGGCACGAAGCTGTGCAAACTCTGGCGTTTGCAAAGTCCTACTCCGAACAGGGGATCTCTCAGAAGTATCACTTAATCCGCATGGAAACTATTCGCTCCCACCCACCGGCTGCAACAAGGCTCAGGGTTTACAGATGGGCAATGTTAGTGCATTACACTGTATCGCCGGCTCCAGGTCTACAGTATTGTCTGTCTCCCACTTTTCATATCGTATCGCACAAATTCAAATGCACCTCAAGATCATTGCATTTTATGATTTCTTTTGAAACCTACGCAGCTGACCGTTTATTTGGGGCATTTTAATCTCTCTCTGGTTCGATAGTGCTGGGGCAGGATTTCTTCTGGCCTTTTCGGTAAATAATTGCTGCAGCACAAGCCCCCAGTGCTCGATGGTCAAGAAATCTTTATTATCGGGGTATTTGGGTTAGTTATGTTGTGGCCAATGCTGCAAACTCCACTGTAGAAAGATAACAAAAGTACCTGTCAGGATAGCCCATAAATCCTGCAATGTGACAATCCGTCAGCCCATTTTCAGACGTGAAGTTGATGAAAAACTTTTATCACTGCTGTTTAAGGATAAAGATCGTTTTTTTAAAAAAAAGTGTTTTAAGACCATTGATTGATAAACATTGCAACAATAAACAATCAGCTCGAGAGGGCTAATGCGTGTTGAAGCATATACTAAAATGCCCAGATTAATAATCACATGAAACAGAATGCAATTCATATCTATTATGATTATATCGGCAATATTGTTTGCTTTCAAGATTTTAGTCTTCTAGTATTTTGAAGGCGGTATTACAACAGTGTTAAGAGTTAGTCCTTTTAAAAAATGTGAACTGGCAACGTAATCTGACCATTTTAAATCAAATTTTCATACCCAACGCTTCTTTCACTGTAAAGTTAGAACATTTTAAAATAAAAATAATAAATATTAAATATTATGACATAATTAATAAAACTTTTAAGAAATAAAGAGTGCACATTCACAACTGCAAAGGGTTAGCAATAAGTTTCTTGCACTTCAAAAGCATAACATGCCACCAAATTTCAAAGTAACTCCATTTGATATAAAGCAAATCCCAGCAAATAGGATCTGGAATAAATCAAATAACAATAGCTAGTTGCATTAACTTTATTGAAGGACGTGCAAGAGCATGTTTTAAAATGGAAGAAATTCTGGAAATCCACATAAATCAGTACCTGAAAGAGAAAGCTGGTTAATGGTGTAGATGTGACCCATCGCCAGACGCAAGACTTTTCAGTTTCTTTTTAAGATGCTGATCAATGTCCTGTGAATTTCCAGTGTTTTACTGTTTTTTTATTGCTGATCTCCTTCATTCATATTTTTTTTCCTATTTTGTTAATAATCATGGAAGTTTAGCAAAACATAAAATGCGCAATTGTATCAGGAAGCACGACTGTAAATGTATCACTTTTGCTGAATCGCATGAACTATTGGAGGTTAATTTGTTAATAAATGTCTTTTTGACAATCTTAATAGCTCAAAGGGAACACAGAAAAGAAGCTTTTAGAGTAAGATAAGCCACAGCATATACGTTACTTAATTAAGGTCAAAATACCCCAGTAAACATATGGGAATGAAAAAGACATACCATAATGCAGTAAAATATTATTTGAGATTTGTTGAAGTAGATTGGGGAAACCAAAGTAATGTAGTATATAAACTTGACAAGTAACCGTGTATAATGTATTTCTATGTGGAACTATAGATGGGAAAATAAATAAGTAATATCAATAAACATATTGAGAATAAAAACATGCAGTTATAGCACAGCTGCATATGATGCAAAAACAATTAACACAGATTTAGAGTAAGCTGAAACACTGAAAACGAGTAAAGTTTTGCTGATTTTAAATGTAGTATATTTTTAAACAAATGTTTAATTGCAAGAACTGAAGTGTAATATATTTAGCAGTTACAGTTGTCTAGAAGTTGTTTTACTCTCAAGCTGCCTTTGATTGATTTTGCTGCAGTCATTATTTTGATACAGTGTAATCAGTTGCAATGATTTGGCAAAGTGTGGCCCCAGGTTCATTACTCACAGATAGACGTAAAGCGTCTTCAGTTGCTCAGAGGTTTAATATACATGCACAAATCATCAAATCAAACTAGAAACTAAATGGATTTGAAATGGTCACTAAGACGTTAGATCGGATATACTTTCACTGGGCAAGTGCAAGCAAATCCATCGCCAACCCACGGCAGCATTATTCTTGGCCTTTGTCTATGGTATAGGAAAAATAAGACGCACAACAGAAGTTTATAGCTTTTTTAAAATATATTTCGCTGTAAATATCAGATACTTTTGTTTCAAAATAAAATTCACTGGTACATTATAATTTACCCTTTTGCCTATGGTAAAACACGTCAAGACATTTGGGGAAATAGTTCTGGCAAAAAGATCAACAAAAATAAAAATTGCAAGATTTCAGTACTTGTGAGCGGAGTGGGGATGTTTAGCAGTTATAATCTATTTACCGTGATGTTAGGCAGCATTGAGCCAATTAAAATTTATAATAATAATCCTAAAATTTGATATACCACCTTATCTCATCATAAAGATGTCTCAAAGCGGTACAGAGTAGCATCCCTGTACAAAACACTGTAAAATTTAGCTGAGGACATAATCCAAATTTTTGGAATGGTATGGAGAAGAGTTAAGCAACGTATTCATGCCCAGTTTATAGTGCGCAAGAAGCACTTTAAATCATTGTTTAAAAAAAAATGCATTTTGTGTGAGCATTTTGGAAATGATATGTTCTGGCGCCTGGATGCCGAAACCACCTTGTTTAAGCAGGGCATTGATTTGCACCACTGCTGTATAAATGGAAGTAGTGCAAATCAATTTGGCCTCCACTTAGATATGGTTCCTTGAAACCATTTTTTAAATTGTTACTAAAGAGCCAGTAGCGCAGTCCCAATGCACACCAGTATACAAATTAACAGGAGCGTGGACAGTTCATAACGACTGAATTTTATTAAAATAAACCTTGGGTGCACATAGAAAGTAATTTAACCACTCATGGTGAATAGGATGTGGAGTTTTTTTTAGTAATATTATTACATGGATGAGGAGGCTTTTAAGTTAAATATATCATTTATAAATGATTATGATGACTCAAGCTAAATTCTTGCATCTCCTCTCCTAATTTTGATGGTGCTTTTTCAATAACATTAATATATGCCATATTATTTTGTCTAATTTATTTCTTTCAACTTGATATTTTTCACAACAATACACAGTTAACTGTTAAAGTTAGCTATTTCTTTAGTTACTTGTCAACAATAAAGTTAGTTATTGAACTTACATTTACAGTGTCTTAACAGTTTCTCCAGTTGTAACAGTGTACAAAACGGTGTTTAAAAAGAAGAAAGCAGTTCTGCTGACCAAACACGCCTTGTGTCAGCAGTAGTGGCCTCATTGTCTACACATTTAGTTGGTATTGTTTATTGAGGATTGATTGGTTTTAGTTTAGCTTTATCTTTATTGAATTGTATCTATTTCATTTCATATCTATTTCATTCAGAGTGTCACATAATTGCTGAATGTTATTTAAGGAAAAATATGAAGCCGATGGTATCAACAGAAAGCTAAGTTAATACTATCCAGTTTCAAGTATATTCTTGCCATCCAGCCTGATTCCTATTCAGACCTAAATATAACTTTGCACTGGTGAAAAGGTTGATGTTGGTGTTACAGTACAGTACTGCAGAATGAGGTACTGACAGCAGCATACAGCATAGAATATATTGCTTCTATTATGGTTGATCATAATATTGAGAAGTACACTCAAATAATCCTATGAAATGTCCAAAAACTGAAACATGATGTTTACAACCCTTCCTGTTGTATCACAAATGATATGCGTTTCTAGGAAGTGCCTCTATAATTTTTGGCAATGCAATGGAATTATTTAAAAAATAATTTTACAGGATGAAAGCCCAGTAATTACTTGTAGGATATGATCGCACATTTCATAATGTAATTTTGGTAAGACACTGTATATATCATTGTTCACAGGGAAGAGAAGCTGCATATTTTGACTTAAGAGACTAGTAAAATCGATAAT